CAGGGCCTGGTAGACTGGCGAGGTTTGTTTCATCGTTCTCTCAGGGGATTCCTCTTATTCTTTTAAATTGGGAGTAGTTCCTCTGCATTTTCGTTTTACTTATATTTCTCTAACTCCACGAATTTAGGAGAAACAGTTATCTACTGTGGTCCTGAAAGGCTGTTTTTATGTGGGAGTGTGCTGGGGCGGACTGTGTGAGTCCACGTTATTTTTGGTGTGAGGGCTCTATTTGGTATGGATGTCTGCCACATCTTTCCTCAGCATGTGCTGGCCACTGTTCCCCCTTGATGGGGGGTGTGTTTGGTGTTGTGCTGGCCAGAGCCTGCACTGTATGTTGGGTGGGGCCTCGTCTTTGCTTTGTGGTTGTCACAGCCCTGTCGGGGGCAGGGTCTACTCCCCAGCTGTTGGAGTAGAGGCCCTGAGATCTGGTTCTCAGCTGCAGTGTGAGGTAGGCGGGACCGCAGCACTCCCTCTGGGAGCCGCTGTGTGTTCCTCCTCAGGAGCTGTCCGCCAGGACCTGTGACTCTGTGAGGCCTCCTGCCACCCGGTGTGCACACCCACAAAATCCGCTGCTGATGGTGCCGCCCTGAGACCCGTCTCGGCTGTGGGAGCGCTGATAATTGGCTCGAGCGTCAGCCTTGCCTTTGAAGTGTGCAGGTTCACAAAGCATGAGCTCCCAAGGCCTGCCGGAGCTGCGCCCCATGGTGGGAGTGCTGATAATTGGCTCTGACGTCAGCCCTGGTACGCGCGTGCTCCCAAAGTCTGGCGTGGCTGGAGCCGCACCCCCGCAGTGAGCACACTGACAATGAGGCGTCTGTGGTGGACCCGTACCCGGCCCTTCATGCGTCGATAATGGGGTCCTTTGGCGGACCTGTGCCCTGTCCTGTGTGCAGCCCCAATTACAGCCCAGACCACACTCCAGGCTCTTCAGGATGTCTCTGCGCAGCCAAAGCAAGTCCTCTTCCCGTGTCTGTCCACTGAAGCCTGAGTTTCAGCACCCACGAGCTGTGCATACCAGCAGGCACGCATCTCAGGCTGGGGAGTGCGGCAGCACGGCAGCTGTCAGCCGGTCCCTCTGTATCTTGCTTGGCAGCAAGTCAGCCCGGGCACACTCCTCTCTTGCAAATTCCAGGCCCCTGCAGCTCCCTTGTCCTGGCGGACCTTCCCGCCAGCGAAGGAGGTTCCCAGGGTGAGGGAACCCTTCCTCTTTCACAGCTCCCTTCCAGGGGTGCAGGTCCCATCCTGATTCCTTCTTTTTTTTTCTCTCCTTTCGTCCTACCCAGTTACGTGGGGATCTTTCTTGCAGCTTTGGTTGTATGAGATCTTTTGACAGCTTTCAGCTGGTATCCTGTGAGAATCGTTCCCGATGTAGCTGTATTTTTTTATGTATTTGTAGGGGGGAAGTGAGCTCCATGTCCCACTCTGCCAGCTTGATCTCCCTTCCAAGAGGTCTTTTTGAGATAAATGTCTTCCATGTTGAAGTGCCCACCTCCAGCACCACCCTCATTTTTCTCTGCAAGGAAACAGTGGGCTTTTCTAAATGGGCCGTGTAAGGAAAAGCTTTTATATTCTTAAATGCATAATGAAGAGTAAAATATAGGTGTCACTAGTTAGGAAAAGGTAGAAGGAAGGGAGGAGTCTGGAGGGAGATAGCAACTCAATTTCCCATTCAATTTCTCCCCTCCTGCCCTTTCATTTGCCCCAGGCTGGGAGTAGGCAGGTAGATGAACGGGTCCCTAGTACTTCTTTCTGGTGGTGGTGTGAGGAGAACATTCGTCAACTAGAGCCTGAAACTGCAGTAGACTCTTGGTGCTTATTCCCTTAGACCAATGAAATTTAGACCCCAGCCCTGAAACTTGAAAGGAAAGGAAATATAAAACATAAATCTCTCTTTATCGCCTCTTAGTAATCTCTCCCTGTCTCACAAACATAAACATTGGTATCACTTCAAGCCATTATTGGCTCTGAGCGTAAAGAACTGCTAAGAAAAAAAGGAAAAAGAGAGGAATCAGATTCTAAATAACTTGAAATCCATTAGGATGCTGCTTCCTCTGAGGAGCCTTCCCTGAAGCTCCATGGCATCATTAGTGCCTTTCCTCTGAGCCCCCGTATCACTGTGTTGAAATTACCTGGTTACTTGCCTGTCTCCCTCAGTAGACCAGGAATTCCTTGTGGGCAAGGACCACACACTGTTGCTCTCTGAATCCTAGATGTAGCACAGTGCCTGGCCCTCAAGAGACTTTGTTGAGGGGTTGGCTATTGAGCAGATCTTGAAGGCAGCCAATTTCTCGGTTCTGATCTCAGTCCCCCAGCTCCCTCCTTATAGCCCCATTTCCAAAAGGAGCACGCTGCTGCTGCCACCACAGCCGGGCTTGTCTGTGCTTCATCATCCACTCCCTCCTGGTGGAAGCCAGGACATTCCAGCTGTCCAAACAGAGAACCTACAGGGAAGCTCATTTGTGAGCAAGGCCTTGTCTCATAGGTCAGTATTAGTCATGGCCACCAGATGGCAGAAGTGGTATTCTGATGAATGCACTACTAAGCTACTGTTTCTTGGACAAGGGTAAAAAAAAAAAGTCACTTTCTAATTTTAATTCTACACTGCATGTTTTTAATTCTGTGATGCCTATAATTCCTGTTTATGGCTCTCTGCAGTGCTATTAAAACTACTACACCCAAGATTTGCTATTGAGACAACCACAAAGCAAGCCTGTCTGTGGAGGGCAAGATGCAGCTCCTCCGTCTTCCTTACAAACCCCAGGAGGCCCCATATCCATCTCTCAGCCCCCAGGAGGACGTTCTGAGAAGATTGATATTGGCGCTTGCTGTTCCTTAGTTCTGCTGTTAAGTCCAAACCTGACAACACAGTGAAATGTGATAGCTTAGGAGCAGCTTAATGTTATCTGGTTGAATCTGGAAAAATCTAATCAGAGATGACTTATGAATAATAATAAAGGGATACAAATAATTAATTATGTCTAAAGGGCTAACGTTACTCAAGCTCTAATGATGGGATCAGAGAAGGTATTTAGTGAGAATGATTAGATTCCTCTGTCGTCATTCTCTGCCCTCAGTACTCGACCAGTTTTCTGCAGAATTTGATTCAGTTGCACAAACATTCATTGAGGACCTACTATTATGTCAGGGTCACGCTGAATGCTTTGAATAAAAATAATTTATGGGAATTCCCTGGTGGTCCAGTGGTTAGGACTCTGTGCTCTCACTGCCGAGGGCCAGGGTTCAATCCCTGGTCAGGGAACTAAGATCCCACAAGCCGCGTGGTGTGGCCAAAAAAAAAGAAGAAAAGAAAAAAGTAAAAAAAAAATTTATAAGATATCATCCTTGTCCTTGAGTTGCTCATGGATTAATGGTAGAAGACAAGCCCGTAAGTGGTTAGTTATGATATAAGCTTATACGTAGCACAATGGGATGAGGCACAGGCAGTTATGGCACGGGCGCCTAATCCAGGCTGCAGAGGAACAGTAAGAGTGTTAACGAAGCTTTCTGGAAGGTGGCTGGCACTAAAAATTTGGTAAAGAACTTTTCAGCCAACTATAAAATTGAAGTGAATAGTAAGAATGCCAGCGATAGGTTGGGGGGAACCTGTCACCCTTCATTATAAAGGTCACAGTATCTGCTACCAATAACCGAGGGGAATTTTTAGAAACAGTTGCATTAGGGGTATTAGCAGGTTAGCTCTTTCATTAAAGGGAAAAAAGACAAGGGATGGGCAAAAGGGAGGAGTCATACACATGAGGAAGAAAAAAGCTGAAAACAACATTTGTCATTTTATTTCTCCATCTTGATAGTGACATAAAAATATTTTATTTGAATTTTAATACTCTCGCAAAATACCATTCCTTAAAGGAGCACAGGGAATTTGGAGCAAAGACACTGAATGTGCAGACCCCATGTGTCTCCACAGCAAAAATCTAAAGGCCAAACAAGCTGGCATGCCAACTTCCGACACCAGCGGAGGGGCTCTAACAAGCATGCTGCCAGTTTTTAGTCTCCTTGTCCTAATTAGAGTGGCTTTAAGGCACGAAAAGTGACCAGTGGAAGAGGAGGCTGTATCTTCCACCTTGAATGCTGTGTGCCTATCTCCGGCTTTCTCGGGACTGTGAGAGAACTAGAACTATTGATTTCCCTAGGACGCAGTGTATGGTGCGGAGGAAAAGAGCCCTGGCTGGGGGGGTCTGGGTCCTGGCACTGTACCTAACCTGCTGCGTGTGACCCTCAGCAAGTGTCCTGACCTCTCTAGGGCTCCATGTGCTCTGCTGTAGAATGGACCAGATCACTGGTTCTCAACAGCAGCAGAAGAAACCCCCTGGGGAAGGTTCTGGTTGTTTGTTAGATGATTGGGCTGGAGCCAAGGATGACAGCCCTCCTACAATGCACAGTACAGTCCTGAACACTGAAACAGTGCCCCGGGTCCCACAGATAGCCCGCCAGAATTTCTTGTAAGGGAAAAGCCTAGAACCTACTTCTGAGTCAAAGCTAATTCTCTTTTAATTAAAATCCAGAGGGTTTTTTTTTTTTTTGCTCATGTATAATATGTGCTGAATGCACCAGTTTCTATGGTTGTGTCCTCCTGCCCCCTGACTCTTTCATTTCTCTGTGCTTTGTGTTCAGAATGACTTCTGTCTTTCTTTACTTAATCCAAACCTACTTTTGATAGGCACAAACATCTGACTTCTTCATTATGTCTTCTAGTGCAGCTGTGCCTGGGCATTTGCATATTGCAAATATCATTATTATAAACAATTTTCCTTTTAAGTTCTCTTTATTATCATATTCAGGCCATGATGCTCTTTTTAGTTACATCAATAGGCAGGTTATAGTACCCATGAATTTCACTTCAGGGTAGAAAACTGGAGCATTTCAAAGTACTTGCTATTAACAAGGGGAGCTGTTGGGACGGATGGGACAGAAAACAACCCCTTGATGGTACGAGCTCCAAGTTCTCTCCCCGAAATGCCCACAAGCCCGAGATCAGTCACCTCTGCGCAGGGCTTGCAGGCTCTGCCGGGCGTGGCGGTGCAGCTCCTCCACGCAGGGCGGCCTGGTGGCCGGGAGGAAGATGTTTCTCTGCTGGTGCCACGGTGCACGGTAGTACACGCTCAGCTTGCTCTCGATGTCCAGGTTGGAGACAGCTGCAAGACAAAAGAGGAAAACAGGGCATTATCCATCGGAAGCTTTCAGCTGTGCATTTGGCAGACCCTGGGGCAGGACGGGGTGGAGTCTGGGTGGAGTGGAGTAGAAATCCAGACTGCTGCATTCACAAGAGGACCTTGCCTACGGCTGGAGAAAGGTTTGAAGTTTACGATACAGATAGGATAGATACACATAGGGCCCCCAAGCCAAGGGATGGGAGACCCCTGGACACCAGCCATCTGTCTGCGACCAGCCAGTTTCCTCTCTACACCCTCACTTCTCACTGTCTGACACAGTTGTTCGTGAACCTGGACAGGCCCCTGGCCAGCCATGCTTCAGGGTGGGGTGAGGGCCTGCCTTCCAAGAAGGCAGAGAAGAGCCTCAGGAGTGAGTGGAAAAGCTTGCCCCAGCTCCAGTCTTCTGGCCGCAGGCCCTCAGAACTATAGTTCTGCACACCTGCTCCTGATGCCCACTTGAACTTTGCCCCTCCCTTGCCCTGCTTTCTGTCTCCTGTGACCCCCGGCCCCCGACCCTCACTACTGAGCATTATCCTGCCCTCTACTTGCCATCTCCACTGTCTGCCTTCTTTCAAAGCATTGCTTAGCTTCCCTAGTTTTGCCCAGGGAAGAGCACAGGCATTAAAGAACCCATCAAGGGGTGACTGGTGTTAAGGGAGGGAAACCACAGACAGTGCTGGTGAGGAGAGGGACACGGTCCTTGCGACTCCTCCAAGAGCTCAAGGAAGAAGGCCTCCTTCCCGCAAACACAGCATTTAACCTATTATGTCTTCTTCGTGCACACGCTGAGCCTAAGATGGAGATCACCCGTGAGTCAAAGATAAATTCTTATGGAAGGCACTGTTCCTAAGCAGGAAGAGTCTGATTAGGAAGTTACTGCACAGAGGAACTCCTGAGCACCTGGGCAGCCTGCCAGCCTCAGGAATGGCGAGAACTGCCCCAGTCTGCTTTACCCTCCAGACCTACTATCTGGACCAGACCTACCCTGCATCTCCCAGTCTCGTCCTCTCCTTCTGCTTTTCCTTTTCTTCCCGGGGTGTGATTTGGGCGCATTCTGTCCCACTGTTTATTCCTGTGCCACAAACAAACTTTTGGTTCCTGTCCGATCCTTTTCTTTTTGAAATCTGGTCTAGCATTTCACTTTGTCTGGGAAGCCTTACATAAAACATGACACTCTGCAGATAAAGCAGGAAGGCAAATGTAAAAGAAGGGAAGAAACTTTTGTAGAAGGGGCGGGCGGGAATAGAAGAAAGAAAATTGGGAAAACGCAGCCTTTTGATAATTAGTCCCCCCCTCCGCCGGCACTGCATTTACAGCAGTTGTTTTTGTTTTTGTTTTCTTAAGCAGTCTTTAGCAGTGTTCCCCCCCCCCACTAGAATAATACATCCTAACCACAAGGACCACCGGTAGAAACAAGGACATATTTGCAAAGATGCTAAAGAAACATCACATGGACACAATGCTATCTATGCCTCTAAAACAAACAGTGCTATCAAATAGAACTCTGTGATGATGAAATGCTGTATTAGCTGTACAGTCCACTGTGGCAACCACTAGCCACACTGGCTACCGAGTACCTTTAATTTTTAATTTTACTTAAGTTTAAATAACCACAGGTAGCTATTGTATTGTACAACCATAACCAGAGTGTACTATCTATGATATTCTCGCACCCTCAGCTACAGAGCACATGACTCCCTTTGACCTAGATTTATTCTCACTTGGTGTTTCATGTCCGGGAAGACTTCAAGCCCGAGGGTTAGAGATCACAGGATTATCTTCCTGGGTAGGGGAAGAGTATTTTTAGGGGAAGCTTCTATAGGGCCAAGAATAAAGGCAGCAACTTTTCTTCCTTGCGTTACTCTATAACCTCAACCCTTTCATTGGAAACATAAGTGCGTGGCGAACCAGTCAGGGGTCATTGAGATGAGGTGTGGGAGGCCTCGGGGTAGAAAGGGTGGGCCACATCTGGATCTGAGCTCTCCTTCTCTCATGTGTAAAGTAGGGGGAAGTGCTGAAGACAGAGCCTTTATTTAGCCCCGCTCAGAGGAATGCTCTGGTTCAGTGACCAGGACTGATTGAAAAGTCAGCCTCTCCCTGGATGCAGAGGTCAGCTCCCACCCAACAGGGCAGAGGTCATTACCAAACTCAACGGAGATGGCTGTGAATTCATGTGCTAGTGACAGCTGGGAGAAGGGACAGAGCAGAAAGCTTGCCTGGTGGAAAGAAGAGGCAGGAAGTTCAGTGGGATAGTCCCTGAAGTAGAGGGACTTCTGAGCACCTCCTCTCCCAGGCTCATCCTTTCAGCGGGAAGGCAGAAGCCAGGATTTGGGGCTGGACCCAGGTGACTTGGGGGTAGACCAGAGAGCCTTATAGCCCCTCATTCCCTCAGCACCGCAGACCAGACGCTCAGGGTCTTATATTTTGATACCCCTCAGAAACGAGGTTGAGTGGCTGTGGCCCCTCCATCTTTGTGTGGGAAACAGCTCTTGCTTTCAGTTTTGTCCTTTGGTTACAGAGCACTCATTACCTAGTACTGTGTGTCCACCAGAGGCAGGCAGACAGGCACTAATGGAGCTCTTCTAGGGAAAACTATCCCATTTTCCTTCTTTAAAAAGTCGATTCCTTTTCCTAAGTAACAGTTCAACAAAAGTTGAATCCACTCATTCGTAAGCTCGGTGCGCCACTGCCAGTGCAAGGTTGTCCCACATCTTCAGGTTCACCCTGCCCCCTTTTCTTCCCTACTTAACAATTTCACCCTGGCTGAGCCATGCAAGATAGTAGGTTTGGTTCTCTTACTTAATGTTTGGTCTCATAAAAATAATACAAAGAGAAGCAAGAAGGTCTCTCCTCAGCTTATTTGGGTATATCTAGGGAACTGTCCGGTAGGCAGAATTCTTGGGGTGGCCCCCGAGATTCCTGCCTTCTCGTGTACATAACCTGTATAGTCTCCTCCCCTTGAGTGTAGGTGGAATCTGTGAATTATGGGATTTTAAGATCCCTCTTCAATTGACTTTGAGTTGATCAAAAGGGAGATAATGAGTGTGGTGTATCTGGTCTAATCAGGTGAGCCCTTAAAAAAAAAAAAGACAAGCAGAAGCAGCGACACTCTCCTGTTGGCCTTGAAAAAGCAAACTGCCACATTGTAGAGAAGGCCAGGTGGCCAGTAATGGGGCCTCTAGGAGCTGAGGGCCTCAGTCCTACAAACCTCAAAGAACTGAATTCTGCCAACAACCCAGAGGCCCCTGAGCCTCAGATGAGAACTCAGCCCCAACCAAAACTCTGATGGCAAGCCAAGGGGACCCTGAGCAAAAGACCCAGTTAGCCCGTGCCCAGATTCCTGAGCCACAGAAATATCAAGATCGTAAGTGGGCACTGTTTTAAGCTGCTACGTTTGTGGCAATATGTGGTATGATATTAGAAAAGGAATACACCCTCCCACTATTTCATCTGCTTCCCTGGAGCCAGTTGCTTGCCTTGCCTGGTATCTGTCCTCTCCTTCCTTTGTCACTCCTCCCAGGGAAGGGGCAGATAATGGCACAGGTTACAGTGGGAAATAGGGCTATATGTCTTGTTTTTATCCCCTACACAGGAAAACGGTTATGTGCATGTATCAGTTTTCCTGTCCAAGACTGTAGGCTCTTGCAGGGAGCTCCAGCCGTATGCTAAGCGCTGCGCCAGGTGTGTTATACTCATGGTACCTTCACACCACCCAGAGATTAAAGTAGTGCTCCCATTTTACCAATGAGGAAACAGAAGCCCAGAGAAAGTGAGTAAATGTGCAAAGTCACACACCTGGCACGTAGAAGATGTGGGATTAGAAACCATCTCTGGCTTCCAAGCTACTGTTTTTCCCCAAACCAATATTGAGATAAATTTGCCTCAACTAAGGCTGATTGGGGGAGGGGGATGTGAAGCGGCTGTCTGCCACGTGAAAAGTATCTAGTGCTTCTCAAAAAAAGAAATAAATAAAGGATTCATAACTGCTGCTCTGTCATCCATAGCATTAGGTGTAACCAAGAACTGAGTGAATCTTTCACAAAGTGCCCAGGAGATATGCCATATTCCAGAAATACAAACAGATACCATAAAACCAGACTGCTGAAAGAAAATGCCATTGTAGGAAACGTCCACAGGGCAGTGAAAAGTCTTTCTAGACTGAACTTAGCTGATCCCCCTGTCGAACTCTGAAGATAGTGGGATTGTCTAGACCTTGACTCGTAGTGATGTACTGACAGCATGGATATGGTCACTGGGTTCATCTGAAATGAGCTGACTTGGAAACTGAGGAGGATTGGCGTCTGCCCCTCTCTTGGAAAGGCCAGTTTTCCTTTTTTTTAAGTATGTATGTATGTATGTATTTATTTAGGCTGTGCCGGCTCTTAGTTGCGGCATGCGGGATCTTTTAGTTGGGGCGTGCGTGCGGGATCCAGTTCCCTGACCAGGGATCGAACCCAGGCCCCCTGCATTGGGAGCGCAGATTCTTGGCCACTGGACCACCAGGGAAATCCCCAGGTTCGCTTCTACGGACGGATAGAGGCTCGGCTTTAGGAATTGTCGGGAGGGGGTAAAAATCAGGGGCGAATACAATCTTGCGCCATGCCTCTCCGGCCCCCGGTCTAGGGTTGGTACTTGTTCAGTACTGCCTTTCCTGGCCTCATGAGCTTATCATCACTCCCTTAAAGCTCTACTGCCCTTAAGAGGAGTGCAAAATGCTTATTCTTGGCCTCTCTTCCTAGAAGGCCCCTCTACCCCGAGTCCCCATACCTGCCGCTGGCTCTCTCCGCAAGCTACTCCTTCTTCCTTCTCCCAGGCTCTCAAGAATTTATAAGGGGAAGGTGACAGCTGAAGTCAAAGTCTGAATGTTACATGTCGTGAAAATTTCAGGAAAATGTGCAAAGTGACTCAGACATGGAATTTCTACCCCTTCAGGGGAGGGGAAGGGATTTTTTAAAATGTTCTTAGAGTGTCCACAGGACTAACTACCCACATGTACCTTGCTAACCTTCCTTCCTGCCCTTCCACCCATCACACCCACCCCCATCACACCGCTTTCTTGCTGGGAACACAAACCGTCCATCCCGATGCCTTCTGACAGAAAGCAGCAAGGAGCATGTTTAGCACATCACTCACTGTATCAATGAGCATCTGAAATCGCATCACAGATATGTCGGCGGCTTGCTCTCTGGGTCCCCGCTAGGCTGCAGCCGCTCCTCAGCAGTCGCCAGCTTGGTAAGCAAAATGGAAATCTACTCACTCAGGGTCTCTGGTGCTACTGCCTGACTTCCCAGATCCGTTAGGGAGCAAGGGAGGGGCTTTCTCCACTCTCTCCCTCCCTCCCCCGCCCCCCCAACTCTGCTTGGCAGTGTGGAGGAGGGAGCAGGGTAGGGAGCACCAAGGCTCCTGCTACCTGTTGAGCAACCCAGCGCCAGAGCCAGGTGCCCACAGTCTGCCCCTGCTGGGCTTCCTTTTCCGCAGAACCACAGTAATTCAGACTTGTTCCCCACTGTGGACAAAGCATCCAACATGGACCCCTCAGTATCAGAAAAACCTAGGCTTCCTGACAAGTTCCAGCACCCACGGAATAGGAGAACGGGGCTGTGTATTTATTTACGCACGAAAAGGAGCCAGAACGATTTTTCCCGTATAAATATTTCTCTAACTTCTAAAACGAAATGATGCTTCACACTAGGAGTACTGTTTAATTATTACTGCTGTTGTTTCAATGTCCGACATCCTGTGGAAAGACCACCAGAAGCCTGGGTTCTACTCGCAGTTCTGTGCCCCTTGGGCAAGTCACTGAACGTTCCCAGGATTCAAGTTCCCCATCTTTACAAATCAGGGTTTGGCCTTCCTGCTGTCTGACAAGAGTCCTGTCTGCTCTGTTTATGCCTCTGCTTTCTACCAGTCACCGAAATTAAATGAGGTTGCATCATCCCCCCCAAGAAAGACTCTGTATTCAAGCTATGGCAGGATGCACTGGGGGAAAGACCCTGGCCTCTGGGATGGAACGATGGTGATTCAGCACAGCAGCAGTGGATCCAGAACGACGGACTGAAATCTTTGGGCCTCTGTAAGTGCGGATCCTAGAGGCTTCACAGAATGGTTCGTAGGATCCAGGGAGATGACAAAGTCCTTGACATGTCCCTGCTTACTAAATATTAGTTCCCCTTCCTGCGGTGGGAACAGAAGAAGATGAAGAAGCCAGGATTGGGGTCCAAGTTCAAAAGAGGAAAGTCTGGAGCTCTCCAACTTCCTGTTTTCTTTATTTTCCCGTCTTCATGGTGCGTCAAGTGTAAACAAAAATGAGGCTACTAGAGATCACTCTTGCTGGGGGGTTGGGGGGCGTATCTTACAATCTGGAAACTGAAAAGAAAGCTGCCTACAACCAGGGAGCCTGTGACCTCTCTGACAGGTCGGATGTCCCCGGTCTCTGCTACCGGTTGACTTGGGCAGCATTCAGTGTAATGACCTAGAGATCCTAATTCTCTGAGTCACTGTCAGAGCTGCAGTACTATACGTTCTCCTTGGAAACGGTTTATAATTTTCCTGTTTATCTTTGGGTCATTCTGCTGCCATGTTCTATACCATGCACTTCCTCCAGAATGCAAGCACGTAGCCATCTGTCACAGCTCGGCTACTGTTTTCAGAAAATTCCTTTAGGCACATAGCAGAGTCACTGGATTCTACTACTGAAGAGACCTCGGAAATTATGGCGTTCTGTGTTTTTTCAAACCACAGTGCGTGACCCTTTAGTGGATTGTGAAATCCGTTCAGCAGATCAAGATGAGCATTTTTTAAACAATGAAGTAGAGGAGAGTAGAATAGAAAATACCACAGTGCACCTCATGTAGTACTGTTTCGTGACGCTCTTGGTTCTGTCACGTATGTGTGCATTTGTATGTGTGCATGCCGGGGAGTGACGTAAACATGTATTTCTTGCTCTGGGCAGCAGTCAGCACACTGAAAGCTACTGTTTAGGCACCCCTCGCAGGTACTGAGGAGGAAATCAAGGTGCAAAGATATGACCCAAGATCACAGAGTTGATTTTTGGCAGAGGCAAAAGCAAAGCTGAGGTCTCCTGACCCCGGGTCCATGCGCACTTCCCCTGGCAACGTTCAGCCTGACCGCTGCGCCCTTCGTCTCTCTCAGTGCTTATTTGCTATCTGTCACATCTATCAGGTTGTCCTTCTGAAAACAAAACCCGAAACTCAAAACACACGCTTTTCACCTGTCAGATATCTAAGAAACTAGCCATTTTCATTTTGGGACGCCAGAAACGCTTCGGCCCGGGGAGCAAAGAACAAGTTTCCCGGGGCTGCTGATGCTCCCGGTCAGCAGACCACACATGGACTAAACCACTGGTTTATAGACACTGAGGCAACAGGGTAGGTATTAGATTGAACGATATTAAATTAGTGATATTCAACTGTTTTGCTCTACAAAAACCATCTCAATAGCGCGGTCTAATAATTAGATCAACCCCAAGGTTAGCCTTACCGGGGGGCCGTGATGTTCTCAGACAGTGGTAAAGCACCTGCTTTCCAGCAAACCTGGGCTGAAAATGACCAGCCCGTCACCAAGTCATGACACCTTGGTGCCAGTTTTCAAGACTTGCATGCCTGAGCTTAAATCAGAGTGGGAGCCTGGCTCCACCCTTGCCTCATCAGCCCCACACCCCTTAAAGAGACACTGGCAGTTTTACATGTTTGTTTGCAAACAAGTTAACGTATAGAAAAGATAATACCCATCAGAAATAAGGAATTTGATCTTTCAGGAGAGCCAGATGGATCGCCAAGGAATACTTCAAAGATTCAGAAAAGGGTGAATTGTCACAAAGCTATTTTCATTATTTGCAGAGAACCAGGTGAGGCTGGTTACTGGGAGGGCACGAGTATCAGCTTTCGGTATTCTTGGTTCCTTGAAAGCAGGAAGATGGAGAGGAAGGAAGGCACTCTACCCACAAAGATGAATGTAGTGTTCTAAAGTCCCTTCATTCCTGCTCAAACTGCAGATGTGCTGTTATGAACACAGGTACCTTTGACATTCCAGGGCAGAACGTGGAGCTGGAGTGGGAGAGGCAGATCAGAAAAAGCATGCGACGATCACCTTTCTATTCAGGAGACACTGCATACAGCCAGTGGAGGTAAGAGGGAAGGGTTCTTTCCGTTTCCGTTATGGTGCACAGAGGCTCTCTGGTCCTCTTGGATAGATGCCCTTGGCTTGGTTAAATCGTGAAGCGGTAAGGTAATTAGCACGTGACACCCAGTTACACATGCTAATAAGTCTCTTCTCCTACGTAGAGGTTAGTCTCTTAAAATTTACTTAGAGATCATCAGCAAGGATGGAAATTTTAAAAATACTTACAAAAGGTCCCACATAGCACGTCCAGTGCACTGCACTTAGAATTACTTACTTGCTAATGAGTATCTTCATAGGTAGAGAAGTGACGCCCTTTATTGGGCCAACAAAGAAGGAATAAATATATGAGCCTGCAAGCCAAAAGGAATTCTTTTACAAGGACCTTTCCACTCCCAAAGCCAAGACGTTTATTATAATGAGCTGGGTGCTCTCAATAGAAGACACACATAGTTAACACATGATATATTGAATCTGGAGTCAGAAAAGACGTGTTGTCTTTTGGCTCAGCCTGAGTCTAGCCGAGTCTGCAGCAATACTGAAGGAGGCCCACTCTTCACGGACAATGGCTCTTTCTCGATCTGCCCGGGGAGGACAGGCTCAGAGAATGGTTCCCCAGGACGGGCATTGAGGCAAAGGTTCAGGAGGTGATACTAAGAAGCTACCAGTAGGGGGAGGAGGGAAGTGAGAAAGGGAAGGGAAGGAAGCCAATAGAGGGTGTACGTATGAGCATGTTATCATGGTGGGTAACGGGGGCTGGATCCCCTTGGGGGACCCCTTGGAGGCGAGGGAGTTGGGATATTGATCTACCACTTCCCATCAATCATTGCTTGAAGGCTGCCTAGGTGCCAGAACAGTATCTCCCTGGTGCTTCTAGAAAAGCAGGCTCCTTAGTCAGAGAAGGAATGCAGGTCGTGGGAGCTGTAAGCCAGGCTGCTGTGCACTAAACTAATAAGGGTGAGGGAATATGGACAGAGCACTAGTAGTCTTGGGGGTTTTAGGAATGTGACCCTTAGAGAACAAGCATTTGCATTTCAGACTTGGGATGTCTTGATTGCTCACCTGGCTAATTTTTAAAGTTCTCCAATGCCAAAGTAGCTTAAAATGGATTTGTTGTCAAAGATCCCCCAAGAGTGGCCGTGAAAAACCCCTGGTCAGGCAACTCTGGATCCTGGTTGGAACATTAGCTGGGAGGGCCATGGCCTGGAGGCCTGGCTGAGGGGAGGCTGCCTTCTGTAGAGGCATGGACTAGGGGCCCTGGCTATGCCCAGGGTCCTGCCTCCTGTGTGGCATTGAGCAGGTCACTGGACCTCCTACAGTCTCTTGCCAGCTCTGGAGTTTTAGGCATGATATGGGAGCCCAGGTTCCTCCTGCATATTTGCTGCCCCAGACCTGGAATCAGCCCTCTCCCGAGAAGTCCTGGCTCTTCTCGGAGGGAACAGGCTTTAGACACCACATTCCGCACGCCAGGGGTATTCATCGTTGCTGGGTTGTCACTGACTCTAAGCTTCTTCAATAGACAAGACGAGAAAATAGGTGAATTTTAGAAGGTGAAGATGAATCATGTGTTGAAACCGCTATTTCCAATTCAAATCTAAGATTACGGGTTTCAATTTAACTTTCTTGATTTTATAATTGATCTCTTTCCTCTTAGGCTGAAAAATCTTGATTCTTAACGACAGTGGCATAACTTCTTACTTGAGTAGTCTCAAAATGACTGCAATAAGACAACTGAATTCAGTTTTAGGTACCTTTTTGTTTTGCTTTTTGTCTTTGGGATATTTTCTACTAGAGATGGACAGTAAGAAGTACTCGGTTTAAAAGTCACACGAAATGATTGAGGGTGTTGAATCCAGTAATTGTTAAGGTTCTGTATATTCCTTTGGGTGCATGAAATGAGAGAAACCAGAGGCTCCTGACTGCCCCATTCAGGTGGATGTAGTTCGTAAATTACTAAAAAAAAAATCCGTCTACAGCTTCTGCATTTTTAATTTACAGCTTACTTGAGAAAAACATACAAGCCTTCTTGCCCTTCACGCTCATCTGCCCCGTGTGTTGCCATATTTAGAAAACTAGGAGTTCCTCCCCTTCCCTCCTTGCCTCTGGGATGTTCTGCCACTGGCCCTCGGAGGGGCTGGACTGGCTTTGTTGAGTACCAGCACAGAGAAGCCCACGTAGTGATGAGGAGAGCCTTTGATCTCCAGAAGACTTGAAAGCTCAAGCCCGGAGGTCTTGACATTTAGCCCAGAGATCAAACACATATGTTGGTAACTGCAGGGAAAAGGGAAATGAACTAGCCATTTTTGAATCCAGAGCCTCTGATGGAAACTCCATAAGCAATGGCAGAATCTACGGAAGGCCGTGGGCCCATCAGAAGCTGAGTAGCCTGTCTAGGGAATCTCTCTAAGGATGTGGGTGAGTGGACCACACACAGGGATCAGACTACTTCACCTATGAATGTCTGTAAATGAGCCCAAATACCAAGACACTAGGCTGTACCGTAGGAAATGGATATTTTTGTAGGTCAAAATGGTTAGAAATATTGTTGATTTCATATGGTTCAACTGTATAGCTCTTAAATAAGCAAATGAGAATCCAAGAACTCAGCAATCTTTCAAAAGAGATAAATGACCCCCTACTTCTCCCTCCCAGGTTTAAGGCATTTGTCATGTTTCTCTTCTCAGGTTGATTTGCTAAGGAGGCAGGTAGAGTGAGAGGAAAAGAGAGAAAAAAGCTATAGCAGGCAGCTGGTTCTAGAGGGTCGCATTAGAGGACAAGGGACTTGGGCCCCAGCGCTGGCTGGCACAGTTCAGAGGCTCACCAGTAGATCTTGACCCCAGTCCCGCCGAGCGTACCGGAGTCCCTGTCTAATCACATTTGGGTCTGGGAAATGGAATGTGTAACCTCTTATTAAGTTCAAGGTACATACTGTGCAGATGTACTTTAAAGAGAAGGAGACGCCATCAGTGCCCTCAGGAATTTCTAACCTGGTAGCCACATTAGACAGGTTAGATGATGAGCCCAGTGGGACCAAGTGTGCCCCCTGCGAACGGTACAGAGTGCCATACAGGTCCAAGAGAAACGCTGTCTGGTTCGGGAAGGGGTACAGGGAAGAGGTAGTCTTGAAGTGGAGTCAGAGTTGATGGATAGAATCAGCAGGGAGGTTGGAAAACGCTGGAAGAGAACCGTATGAAATTTCCATTTTGAGGTAAGAAACGTCTGACTATTGGCGATTTCCTATGAGGCAACCCAATATGAAGGTTGGAAAGAGTGTCAGTGCAGGTCCCAGGAGGAGTTTACTGCCGCCGGACCAGGGATTGTGTGAAGCACAGGGGGCAGGTTAGGGGCCGCCAAGAAGGAAGACAACACTACTTAGTGAGCATGATGTGCATGGACCAGACACCGAGATAGGCTCTGGGTAATATCATTTGGTTCCCACAGTAAAGCCAGGAAACACATTTGATTATCTCTAATTTGCTGAATAGGCATAGAGAGGTTAAGAACTTGCCCAAGGCCCCAAAGATTATAAATGGGAGAGCCAGAACTCCAAGTGAGTACAGCTGAGTCCGAAGCCCCATACCCCTTTCTGCCTTCTACCCGGCTTTCTAACCCACACCACTGCCCCACACAGGAGCAGATATCTGTGTGGGAAGGCCACGGTCATCCTGGAAAGGAAGACTGAAGTCGTTCAGTGGAGAGCCCTGCTGGCTGGGTTGAGGAACCTGCTATATAACGGGGAGTGTCGTAGGTGCCCCAAAGCAGAGCTCAAGACAAGCTGTTTGTTTAAGGATAGAGATGGGCTTCCTTGTTTATATTTTGCATCTTCCACCTAAGCAACGGGTCTAGAATATGGACCTGTATGTTATAGGAGCTCAAGTCTTTTGGTTGCATGGATGTGATTCAACTCCATAAATGGTTCAAGCTATACATCTTTGTGGCCCTTTCTCTCTCCTTTAATCCACCTTCTTTCTTTTCCTGATCTCTTTCCTCCCAGATCAATTCTACTCAATGCCCAGCTCAAGTTGTACCTTCTCCATGAATCTATTCAAGATTCATGGACCCCAGGGCCCAATAGGTTCATTCATTTATTGAGCAATGAGTGATTAAGGACTTGCCATGTGCCAGGCACTGTGCCAGGCACTGCCAGTGGTGGACATGACAGACACAGTCCTTGCCCTCATGGAGGTCACATCCAGGAAGGAGGAAGGCTAGGAAGTGAAAAACTGACTGATAAGGAAGGATGTAATCAGGTAATAATAGGCACTCTGATGAAATAAAGCAGGGGGGTGAGAGAGAGCAAGGCTACTGGGAGGCATGGCATGGAGTAAATGACAGTAGATGACCAGGAAGGCCTGAGATTCTCAACTAGGCATCAGAGATACCAAAGTAAGGGAGAGAGAGAGGGTGCCTGTCCATATGGCGCTGACCTCTAGAGGAATGAGCTCTTCCTCTAGCTGAGTGTGGCAGTCTGGCCTAGCTAGTTACCAGTCATTTCCTCTTTTTCGGCACACAGCTGGACTACATTTCCCAGCCTCCCTTACAGTTGGGTGTAGCCACGTGTTGAGGTCTAGCAGTGGCACGTGAGCAGAAGTGATCTGCACCACTTCCAGCATAGCTCATAAAAATCTCCCACATGTTTTCCTTCATGTTCTTGAGAGCTTAGAAGCCATATACTGAAGATGGTAGTTTCACAAGATAAAAAAGAGCCTGGATCCTTGAACTCCGGCTAGGAGAGCAGCTACCCACCAGTGACGAAAAACCCATTTTGGACATGATGCAAGTGAAGAATAAACCTGAATTTTATTAAGCCAGTGAAATATTGGGGGTTATTTGTTCTGACAGCTCACACTACACTAATTCACTGAAGTCACTGTGTCATTGCCATGGCTATTCATTTGACCCATTCTCAGCCTAGGACATGGTCTTATCATATTACTGTTTACCTCTGTACTCTTAGTTCACTTTTTCTTTCTGTAGGTCGCACCCCTTCAACTCAGATGGCAACAGTGCAGTCAGAGGCCTGCCCTTCCAAGGTGAGTGCTTTGATATCTTATCTGCTCATTAAAGCGGGATTCCGCTTTCACTGCTGCATCATGTCAATGGATGCTTTTATGGCCCTTTGAGTCATTTGTACTTTTAGGTAAGGGAATGATCGACGCTTTCTCTTTTAGTGAGCTTAGAAGACATGTGTTCTAGACTACCACAAATACAATCCTTCCCCAAATTATGATCATTTCCGAATTGGTGGGGCCTGGGTCAGTATGACAGTACTGCTTATACAGTTGTAGCTGCTTATTTCCCTGTCAGACTGTTGGCTTTTTCAGGACAAAGAGTACTTCTTGTCTATATCTCAGCACGAGGCACAGTCAGGCACATGGTAGGTGCTCAGTAAATGCTTGCTGAAGGAACGAATAGGGTTATTTAATGTTGTTAAACACACTGATGTGCTATGGACAGAATCTGCACAAGTTTTTGTTCTTCAGGAAGCATCTTTAAAGCCCCCCCTCCCCCCCCCGTCAATTTACAATCAGCATTAACAAAAGCTTTTCCTTGAAAACCAAATGCATAGAGTCAGGCTGAATTCCGAGTCGCTCCGGGGCGTCCACAGAAATGAGGATTGTGCGGGAGGGCACACTAAGTAGGACTCTGCTTTCCTGCTGCTTTGCTAAGTGCTGGCTTTTCCCCACCTTTGTTCTTTCTTCCCAAACTCTACCTCCAAATTATCTCTGGGAGTCTCCAGGCAGAGTCATTCTTTATCCTGACACACGCCTCCCTAAGTCACCTACCCAGTGAAAGCTGCAAGCACCCACTTAGCCAAAATACTGGGCTCGATTTCTCTCCAAGGCCAGTACCCAGGCAATGCACGCGCAGCTGGGTACTGGCCTTGGAGAGAAAGGCAGTGCCTTCTCAGCGCCCTCAGAGCAAGTCGCCCAGCCCCACACAGGCTCTCGCCTTCACACTGCCCTCCTGCTCCAGATAGCAACTTGTCTTTGAGTGTCACAAAGCAGAGCTTCACTGGTCAGAGACACCAAGGCCAGACTGATACGGCAAAAGAGCAAGATCAGGAAAAGAACAGGCTATCCTGTATAACCTTGAAGAGTAAAGAAGTTCTTTTATTGTTGTTTTTCTTTTACAGCCTCAGACCCATGCAGCAGTACGAATTGAGGTTAAAACACAGATGCCACTAACCTGCACACCAAATGGCATGAGTCAGTGACACCAGCTCCGAGACCTGTTTTGAGCCCAAGCAACCGTCCAAGCCACACGTAGGTCACCTTGCTTTGATCTAACAACAGGTCAACCTCAGAAAGAGGCATTTCTGACAGAATTTCACCCACTGAAGAAACAGCTGGCTAGTCCGTTTCTCTTCCCAGTAATAAATGAGAAGCATTTATTACTTCATTACACTTACCCAACCCATAGACCACCTTCTAAACTGGCTGTTTCCTGAAAGCTGCCAGTGAATTCAATCAAAGGTATAGATTCAGTCCTGTGTAGACATGGGACAGACCCCTTTTAGTGGGCTGTCACGGGGCCCCCTTCTGTCATTTCTGCAGGGAATTAGGTATTAGGGCAAGGATGTTTACATGAAGAGGTGAAGAGAGTGGAGAGAAGGCAGGTAGTACTTAAACAAAACGTGGCGATCTCCTTTTAGTTAAGAATGAGGTTCAGCCAGTGTTCTCTTTTCTTAAAACAAATTTTCTTTAAAGGCTGTCAAAGCAATAGCTTCGGTGAGCACATTTATTTACCTTCTATCCACGCGTAAAGGTTTGTTCTTTCCAGAACAATAGCCACCTGGGACAAGTGACATGCAGAGGTGTCCAGATTCCCATCTCTCTCACCACTGTGTCAGCTTACCAGTGTGCCCTCCCAGGTCTTCTTCAGATATTGGCTACTGGCTAAAGCCCATTCCAGAAATACCAGTGTCCTGTGTGGTAGCGTTTTCTGCAAACCCACAGAAGGTAGGATCTACTGGGACTTTCCAGGCAAACTGCCTTTTCAGGGGTAGCAGACTCCAGAAGTTCCCTCCTCCTGGGGTGCATTGAAGCCAGTGGCCCGGAGCAGGCTGTTTAGGGTCTGAACCGTAGGACTGTCAGGGCCTTTCTAGTAACAAGTATGGACTTGAGCTTTTGTATTTATTTGGATAGACCCCAAAAGGCTCATCTCAACAATTAAGAAAATCCTAGTTGAATATTTACTTGTTAGCTAGGACTCCCAGACCGTTAGGCCCTCCCTTCGCCTCCTGCTTCCCTGGACCGCACGTCTCCATCACGCTCTTACTCCACTTCCTTTCTCTGTCCCCTTCACACTCCTTTCCCTTTTGTCCTGGGCGAGGGCCTGGGTCTCTAACAGACCAAGACTAGCCTGCCCTTTTTGGATATGTTACATTTTTCAGCCTGTAAAGAAAGTCCTGGTGGTGGTGTTTTTTTGTTGTTGTTTTTCTTCCATTTGGTGTACAGGGCCAAAGTAATAGCTGTTATGGCCATGACAAGAATGAAATCATTTGAGTACTGAGAAAAATCAAACCAAGAAAGGAATGACTTGTCACTCTCTGATCTTCACTCTTTATCCATTAACACACACACACACACACACACCCCAACGATGCTCACGCAACAGGTATTAGTCAGGCACCTGCATGGCCCGCCATTGAGTAATGTTCACCCTTGTTCCTACAATTTATTTCAGGCCTGCTTCTCCCACTTTCATGTGCGGACGATAATCGTGATGTCGACAACAACTTGCCATCCTTCTCTGAATATTCATTCAACAAATAATTACTGTGCATCCACTGAGTGCTGTCCCTCCCCGAGGCACTGAGGTATGAAGTCTCTGTCCTCCTGGAGCTTGCTGTCCAGTAGGAGACAGAGGGGACAGATAAACACATAGATACGATATCAGGTGGTATACGTTCTGTGAGGAAGCAAAGAAGGGGGGTAAAGGACTAAAGACTGGTGTAGCAGACGAGCCCGGTGCCTTGCCAGCATCCCCGCGGCATTCACCTGGGCACGCGGAGGCTGCCTCCCGTGAGCCCCTGAGGCCCTCTGCCTGGGGGCAGTTATTTTTCTGGCCGTGGGAGAACGCTTGGCCCCCAAGCGGGGTAAGCAAGAAGTATTAGAGAACATCTTTCTCACTTTCCTCATCTCATAGTTACGACATCTCCTTTAATCCTTTCTTTCACTATTTCCTCCAGTTGGTTCACTTCTCACTTCTCTGATGGCTCTTTTTCTGAGAGTTCTGCCATTTAAATAAAATGCGTCTACCACTGATTGGGGCAGGGAAGCTGGACCGTCCACAGCCCTGCTTGGGGAGGCAGCCTCCAGGCGAAAAGCAGCAGGCTCCCTGCAGTGGCGCCCCCCTCCCCCGAATTCTTTTAGAAGATGGGAGACAGATCGTCTTCTCCTGCTCCATCGCCATCATCATTGTCAAGGACACCTTCTCCTGAGAACTCATTATCTGCTGAACTTCGGGCCATTTGTTTGACCGTCATCATCTCTGACCCTCACACCAACTCTGAAGACCAGACGGTAACTACAGCCCAGCCCAGGGAGGCAACCTTCCCTCCTACAGCAGCCGAGGCGCTCCCCTCATACCTCTGGCTACACAGGACACACCTCAGCAGCGATTCCCGTGGCCACAGTGCCCTCACCATGCATTCTGGGCCCCGCCAAGGCAGTTACTTTGATCCTGAATAGGAGACTCCATATCACACGGGACGTGCAGTTCTTTTTAGGCAGCTGGCATGAGCTTAGCACAGATGCCTCCCGGAGCAGGACTGCTTTGCTGCCTCCTGGGAGGTCCATCATCAAAACCTCCTGCCCCGACCCACATTGTGACTCTCTCCATTCGTGCTTCTGGCTGGAGCTACCAGGTAACCGACGTGGGAGTCTATGACTGCTTCATTTGGCTCAGAGTTCCTTCTGGAGGAGCTGGCGTCTCAAAGTTGGTTAGCAGTAAGCGAGCCCTGAGGTGCTAGCTATTAAGGCCTGAAAGGTGGGCACAACTGGGCTGCGGTCTGTGTGGGTGGTCCCCAGGAAGTCCCCTAGCGTCTCTAGGATTTCGGTTTCTCTCAGGCTGGAAGCAATCACATGGTTTTTAGGGCTCCGTTTCACCCCTTTCTTGTCCTGTCCTTAGTGCTTACCAAATGTCTATGTGTACATCTACATTTTCGGCTTCCTATGTAGTCAGACTGAGGCCAAATGACAGGGTGTCAGCTACTAGCCAGTGGGACACAGGCAGCATTAATGTACACCACTTCAAGGCTTGGTCCTTATAAAACCTCCCAGGAGTCTTGCTTCTCTCTTTTCCTCCACTGCTTGGGAACTACACATTCTAGGCTTACATCAGACTTTGTGTGAGGAAGAAATAGAACTATTATTGTATTAAAGCACTGAGCTTTGTTGGTCTATCTGTTAGCATAGCATAGCGTAGCCTATCCTGACTAATACATTTTCTTTTATTCTGCCTATTCACTCATTCATCCACTCATTCAGATGTCATTCGTTCACTTGATATTAATTAAGTGCCTACTACATGGCTGGACACTAGTACCCTAGCATGAATATACCTTGGGTTCTTCCCCTGGAGAAGAGGTGGATATCTAGGTGAGGAGATGGAGATGGAGATGGGAGCAGAGACAATAATAATACAGTGATAAGTGTGTACAGGGTGCATAACATTGTGTTATGTGCAGAGAAATAAACATTCAGAGGCCTTTACCTTTAGAAAACTTCAACTATACTCTTTCTAGTTTCTTTCTTTATCCTTTTTTCTAGACAGTGCTCACCCCTGCATACTGTGCCAGTTCTAAAAACAAAACAAAACCAAAAACTGCATTTACCACCACTCTCTCCTTCCTACCAGCCCATCATTCCAAATCCATCTTCCTGAAGTACCATTTCTATAGGTCATGCCCCCGTCTGAAAATCATTCAGGGGGGTCTTTCTTTCATCGCCCACACAAGGTCCAAACTCCTTAATTTGGCATTGATCCAGTTCTGAGCTGTCTTTCTAACATTATTTTCCTCTTCTCCTTCAACCAGATGGCATAATCCATGTCCAACGACCCACACCATTGGTGATCCCACTCCCATGTCTTTTCTCACACCACTGTTTCCTCAGAATTCCCCTCCTTGTCTGCCTAAGTCCCTTTCTCTCTTCAGAGTCCCACCTCAAGTGATATCTTTGGTCTTTCTGTCTACCCCAGGCTATAGTATTAATATATTCAGCAACTTAGATGAAACGGACAATTCCTTGGGAAAAAAACTAGCAAGGGACAGAGAAAAGAGAAATAGTCCTATATGTCCTAAAGAAATTGAATTCTAAATCAAAACCTTTCCCACAGAGGAAATTCCAGGCCCAGATGGCTTCACCAGTGAATTCCATAAAACATTTTAGGAAGAAATGATCCGATTTACAAAAATTCTTTCAGAAAATAGAGGAGAACATTTCCCAATACATGGTATGAAGCTTGTATAACCTTGATACCAAAACCTGATGAAAGACACTTCTAAAACATCTATAGCTAACATCATATTTAATGGTTAAACAAACATTGGCTGCTTTCTCTAAGACAGGGAAGAAATCAAAACATCTACTTTCACCAGTATAGTAAGACACAAAGATATGAAAGGAAGTAGCAAATACTGTCATTTCCAGCAAAATGATTGTGTAGGTTTAAAACCCTATGAAATCTACAAAAACTGCTAGAACTAAAGAGTAAAAGTAGAAAAGTCACTGGTCAATATATTAGAAAAATCAATTGTATTTCTCTCTCTCTATATATATATATACTAGTAATCAAAACTTGGAGAATTAAATAAAAAGGAATACCACTTACAATATTATCAAATATGTAAGTCTAACAGAAGATTGTGTGTCCTCTACCCTAAAAACTGCAAAACATTCCTAAGAGAAATTATAGAAGGCCTAGGTGATCAAAAGCTATACTATATTCAGGGATCAGAAGGCACAACATTGTTAAAGATGTCTATTCTCCCCAGATGCATCTATCGATTCCAATCAATGGCCAACCAAAATCCCAGCATTTTTAAAAGAAATTGACAGGCTGATTCTGAGATGTATGTGAAAATGCATAGGTTCTAGAATAGCTAAAATAATCTTGAAAGAGAAGAACAAATTGGGAGGATTTATGCTACCCGATTTCAAGACTTAGTACAAATCTACAGAGGTCAAGACAGGGTGGTTTTGGCAAGAGAGCAGACGTACAGATCGGTGGGGCAGAACAGAGGGTCCGGAAATAGAGCCACACACCTACAGCTGACTGATTTTTCGTAAAAGGCGTTAAATCAATTCAATGGGGGAAAAGAAAGGTTTTTGGTTTTTTGTTTGTTTGTTTTACAGATGGTTCTGGAACAAATGAATATACGTATGGGAAAAAATTAATTTTGACCCCTACTTCACTCCATACACAAGTAATTACATAAAGATCACAGACCTAAACACAAAAGCTAGAACTATAAAATCTCTGGAACAAAATACATGACAAAATCTTCATGAACTTAAAGGAAGCAGATTTCTCTGACAGGGTTCAAAGGGACTGGCCACACAAGAGAATACTGATGAACTGGACTTCGTCAAAATTTTAAAAATGTCTGCTCAGCAAAAGAATGCCATTTAGAAGTAAATTGGCAAGGCACAGGCTGGGAATAAATATTTGCAATCCTATATCTGACACAGAACTTTCATTCAGAGTATAGAAAGAGCTACTACAAATCAATAATGAAAAAACAAAGGACCCAGTTAAAAATGAGGAGAAGGCATAATGACATTTCAGAAGAGAAGGTATAGATATATGAATGTCTAGTAAGCTCATGAAAAGACATTCAACATTATATGTCAGCAGAGAAATTCAAATTAAAACCACAATGAGATACCATTTCATATCCACTGTAATGACTACTGACGTACCCAGTGTTAGCGGGGATACAGAGCAACTAGAGCTCTGGTACATTGCTGGTGGGAGTGTAAAATGGTACAACCATTTTGGAAGAAGCTCTGCCAGTTTCTTATAAAACTAAACATACACTTAGCCTGTGACTAAGCATTTTCCCTCCTAGATATTTACCCAAGAGAAATGAAAATGTAAATCTACATTTACATGGACTTGTACAAAAGTATTCCTGGCAGCTTTCGTTCATAATGGCCCCAAACTGGATACAGCTCAACTAAGGAGGTAAACTGTGCTGTATTCTTACAACGGATTACTGCTCAGCAGTGAAAAGGAATGAACTACTGATACATAAAACAATATGAGTAAATTTCAAAAAGTATTATGCTGAATGAAAGAGGCCAGATATTTTTTAAAAATCATACTGTATGATTCAATTTACATGTAGTGCTTGAACGGGCAAGTCTAATCTATGTGACAGAAATCATAATAATGGTTGACAAAGGGGGTGGAAGATTGGAAAGGGGTACTAAAATTTGGGGGGTGATGGAACTGTACTATATATTATTTTGGGAGGTGGTTGCACAGACGTATATGTCACAGCTCATTGAACTCAACACTTAAAATGTGTACACAACTTAATTGTATGTTAAACTATATCTCAATTTTAAAATTACTCCTTCCACCACCCCCAGAAAACCCTGTTGGGTGCTACTGTAATGTACTGTTATGATTTTCATATGCAGTTATCCATTTTAAACTTTCCTAGATCCCTCGGCAGGACCCGCACGGTACTTGGGACTCCATATTTGTCGAATCAATGAATGAGTAATAATCAGACAGTGTAAAAGAGAAATAAAAGGTAAAGGAAGACTAGAATACGACACCATACATAATTCCACTGTTTCCATTTTTCCGGGAGTCAACACCATTGCAAACGCAGGTCCCTATCTCCCAACACATAACAATAACCCGGTGTCTAAGACATCTTGCTTTTATTTACAATAAAAGAGGCAAGGAAATAAGAGAAAGCTTTTGTCTCCTACCTCCTTTTGAGGTGACACCACATAATTATTACTCCGTTTCTTAACTCTAGTGCGAGAGACCAAAAGACATCGGATGAATCACCTTTTCATTCATAAAACCCTGCTTATATCTTTCATCGCTTTTATCCTCCTAGAATAATAGCAGAGAAACAGCACTTGACGGGCCTACATTATCAGACTCTATTGGAAAGGTCTAGATAAGAGTGCTGAACCACCTATTAGTATTCTGCATGCAAACCCTTCTCCGTAACCCAGAGTCATCCGTATCCTGGCAACCCTCAGAATTTCATTCTCATTGAATTGCTAGATCTTTATCAAAATATAATTAGAGCCTTAATTCGAAAGATAAATTTTGATTGCCAGTGCCATGCCGAAAGGAAGGAATAATCAGGTGGGAGAGCGCTTAGGCACAATTGTTAACCATATAATCAATGTCATGGATCACGCATCCCCTAAAAAACATAACTTTGGGGGAAGTTGTGAGGGGTAGAGCAAGGAGGGGAAGAAATCATTGAGGCACCAGACTTACATTATGTTTGCTCGTTTTCTCATGTTGTTGCTTAAGTACTTGTCATCTCTTCCCAACTGGAAGAGTTTGGGGAAGGCCCATGCTGTGTGTCCTGCTTCTGTGTGTGCTCACAGTGGCCCAGTCCGTAGCAGGAAGTAACGTGGTCTACAAGCCTCCTATCTTGGGGTCAGGTCTCCTGGAAGCAGACTTTGAGATAGACATTGGCGTGTGGGAAGCTTACTAGCAAATGCTCTTCAGGTCAAGACCTATGGAGGGAATTAAGCAGGACTGGGCAGAGAGAGAAGTTGGGCTGTGATACCGTCACAACAGAGGATCAGCCAGCCCCATTGGGGGAGCTCTGGAGCTGGGATAGCTCTGCAGAATTGTCCTGAATTGCAGCGTGACCAGTCATTGGATGTGCGCTGACCTGGGAAGGGCTGTGACCTTGGGCAAGGTGGCTCTCTTCAAGGACAATTCCCAAAGAGGGACTTGGCTGTGAGGCGTCAGCCACCAGTGCCCAGCTCTGACGAATGAGTGCCTGGGGAGCAAGCGCTTGAGTCCTGATGAGGAAGGGGGATATAGGTGGTGCATCAAAGTAGCCACTGCCCCTCCACTGGCTACAGTGACTCAAGGGCCTGGGGAAGATGATCCGAAATGGAACCCTGACAGATCGAACCCACTAGCCCATCTGTACAGGAGAGCAGCTCTCCACCCTGTTGCGCATGCTAAGTCACCTCAGAATGTGTGACTTGCTGGGAAAGAGGAGGTCTTGTCCCCTGATCCAACTGGCATGCTCCCGACTTGAGGGTGGGTACTGGATACTTAAAAAAAAAAATCAATAGCTCCGAGACACAGTCTGCAAGGGGCCAGAGAACAGAAGTCACACACTTCAGTTCCCTTTGCTTTGGGGCAGTCACATCTGCAGCCTCACTGCTTCCATGGTCGTAAGTGGTTCATTAGTTTGGGGATGGAGAAAGCACCAGGCATATATAACTGTCTTTCTCCATTGGAGTAAAAGTAATAGAGGTATTTAACCTACATTTCCATGTACAGTCAGCTTCTCCTGAGACCTCTGGGAATGCTCAAATCTGTAAATACAGAAGCTTCAGAGTTCACCGCTGTGCTAGGTCGTCTGTTTCCACCCGTCCTGGTATTCACGCCCTTGGTTAATTCCCTGCCCTGGAGTCTGGGCTGGTCCTGTGACTTGTGTCATCCTGTTGGTAAAACAAGTCACAGGCCCAGCCTTGAGAAGGCCTGGAAGCTTCTGCCTTTGCGCTCTTGGGGACCCTAAGCCACTAGGTAAGAAGTCCAGCTTCTGGACTTCTGGCAAGGCCACTTGGACAGGCCCTGAGACTACTACACAGAAAGAGACAGAAGCACAGCCAACCCAGCATCCCAGCGGAGCCTAGCCCCCAGGCGACATAGCAACTGACTGGCCACCGGCAAGACTATCGCAAGAACTGCCCAGTGAGCGCCTCCCACACTGCAGAATCTTGGACCAGCCGACCGGCTATTGTTTCTTAAGCCATTAAGTTTTGGGGTGGATTCCTACACAACAATAGATAGACAAAACAACCCTAATTAGCAATTACCTCGAGTCAAAGGGCTATGCTGGCCTCGCCCCACCCCTATCAAGTCAACTGCCTTTTAAGGTTGAACTGAAGAGTCCTTCCTCATTTGATGGCCGCTTTTCACAAGGAAACGAACATTTTTATTACATCATAATAGTTACCGCCTACCCAGTGATGAATAGACCAAAAAATTTTGAAGGAGAAAAAAAATCCTCACTAGGCTGTCGGCACCGGAGGTCAGGGATTGGGCTCTCTCACTAGCTATGTAGCTTAATCCTGTGAATCGTTTTCATATGCTGGGGGCTCAAATTCATGCCTCGGTAAGTTTACAAATGGCTCCCTGTCATGGACCTCCAAGGTCATTCACCAAGAGAAGAAACTCAGAATATTAAATCCTGAGATTCAGGGTCAGTGTTGGTTGGACACGGAGCCCACCAGGTCAGAGATGGAGTGTAGCAAGATGATCCAGGGCTGGCTTCTGGAGCCAGATCACCTGGGATCAAATCCCAGATCTGTCACTTGTTGGCTGTAAAACCCTGGGCAAGTTACTTAACTTCTCTGTGCCTCAGCACCCTTATCTATAAAGTTGGGATAATAACAGTCCCTCCCTCGCAGGGTTACTGTGAGGATTAAGTGAGTTAATATATGTACAGGGCATAGACCAGTGCCTGGCTCTTCTGAGCCTAACTCTAAGTGGTTCTGCAGTAAAAACAAAAAACAAAAAACAAAACAAAACAAAACAAGAAACCAAAAAACCCCCCAAAAACAAAAACTCACATGGACCTTAAGTAATACAAATAGCTGTTTTTAGTGACTATACAAGATGAAAGCTATCTAGGGACTGTATATCAGCTTTCTGAAACTATATCCCGTATAACTTTTCATAAGAGGGCAGAGTGAACAGAGCATGGCAGAAGGAGCACTGAGCCAAGAGATGGAGACCTACATTCTAATTGCAGCCCTGCCATAAACTAGCTGTGTCACATTGGGCAAGTGATCTATAACATGGGGGATAATACAATGACCTTGCCTAAAGAGGCTAGACCAGATGGTCCCTCTAGGAACCTTTTATGTCTCAATACCTTTCCAAATCCTGAGACAGGAAAGGGCAAGTGGAATGACGACCGTTTTAAAGATGGAGACACGTATTTGGCCACGTGACTTGCCCAGAGCCAAATCCACTGCCAAAGGAGAGCAAAACAGGGGCATCTTCCGCGCCACAGAGCTTACTGCTGCGGCACAGACTACATTTCCCAGCTTCCCTTGCAGTTTGATGTGGCCATGTGATTGAGTTCTGGCCAGTGGAATGTGGGTGGTGATGAGGTGGGCTACTTCCAGTCCTCCTACCGTGCTCTCTCTTTCCCCTTCTGCTGGCTAGATACAAAGGAACCCAGGAGGGACTCCAAGGCCCTAGGGGATAGCAGAGCTGCAAGAGGGCATGAGACCAGGTTCCTTGTCATCACAAGCCAAAAGTTGATTAGGCTTTATATGATTAAAAAAAGAAAAACGGCATTGTGTTAACATCCTGAGATCTGGGACTTAACTTGTTACAGTATAACCTAATCCATACACTCAGTGCGAGTCTCTAGTTAATGGCTGATTCAGGTTCTGAGCTTCAAGAGGAAGCAGCCTTTTTCTGTTTCAGTGCAAGAGATCACTGACATCTTATTTGTAGAGGCAGAGCCAAGACAATGAAGTCTTTAGGAAATCTGAATCCCAACTCATGGCCCTCCCACGGGCCCTTCTCAGGGTGCCAAAGAGTTAGCCACTGTTGCACTGGGCCTTTTGGCTACACTGAATCATCAGCAATCTTGCATCTTCTGTAGGGAACACAAAGATGAGGGGCATTTTAAAGATAAACCAGCAAATGTTCTCAAGCCTCTAAGAGAAGACTGATCAGGAATGATGAGAGGATTTAGCAGAGGTGCTTTCTTTCCCAGTCTCTTCCTTCTCCCAAATCAAACTCTACCTTAATATTGTCCTGATGATTATATTTCTGACCTACCTACAGAAAATAAAGGTAAAATTTTAAAATCAAAATTCACTTTCAAAAGGAGGAGAGAATCACCCAGTAGGTTCCGTCTTGAATAGCGAACTGATGGTGGTAATTTACACCTTCCCTCTTAAATTCCCATACTCTTTAGTTTATTTCTTTCACCGTTAAAAAGTTAGGCATTTACATTTTTTCAGCCATTACCAATGCATTTTTGCAAAAAAAAAAAAAAAATTCCTATCATTCAACCAGATCAAGAACAGATGGGGCCTGTTTTCTTCAAGCTGGACTTTGCCATCTTTGCTGCCAAAGAAAAGGCGAACATGGGGGAAATTAAGGCTTTTGAAAATAAATAACGGGAGAGCCCTGGCAGGCTCAAGGGATCCAGAACCCGCAGGAAGAGATCTGAGCTTCCCACCATCCACTAGGATCACTGAAGTCCTCAGTCCCTTCCTGTCTCCCTTCCATGTGGTACCTTCCCCATCAGCTGGGGCTGGTCCCCTTCAGACAGACTGGGTACCTCTCAATTTCCAAGAAGAGATTCCTCACTCAACTGTCCAGGGATTTCCATCTGGAAAAGAAAGAGGGGCACCCCAGCTACTATCTGCACCCAGGAAGCTGGCATGATTTAAGCACCACCCGGACCCTTTGGTCTCCGTGTATTCTGGGCCAAACTCCACTGCGGGGAGTGGCCTCCTGGCCCCTAGGCACAGAGGACGAAGCCTCACATATGGCTAGGCAGAACTCAGAGGGAATGTAAAGCTGCAGATACCCATGGCTGGGGGCTGGGGAGGGGTCTCTGTCTGGACTCCCATCCCCCAATCTTGCAGCCCAGTTGCTTAGGACCTCACATAGGGATGGATGGGCTGCTGCTCTCTCACACAGATCAGCTTCCTAGCATCCCCACCCTGTCCTGAGACTGGTGGCTGAACTGCTCTGAAGGATGTGTGCACCTGGTCACAGGCTGTCTGGGGGCCCAGTGTGGCTCACCCTCACGCAGCTGGGAAGGGAGACCCCATCCTTGTAATAGTGGGGTCAAGCTAAGCTGCATCTCCAGCCGCAGGGTATTTTTAGACGCTGTTATCTTTGTCTTGCTCACAAGCAGCTGTGAAAAACAAAGTGGTGACCAGGAGGCACGAAACTATAAAATAAAAACCTCATAAAGCAAGAGCTCCCAAACTCAAGAGCAGAGCACACTATGGCTAAAACGCTGCGCACCATCATGGCGGGCCTGCTTAATCTTCCCCTGAGGGGGCACCAGGTGGGGCTTTGCTCTTTTACTGTCCACCCATTCCGGGCCTGGCAGGCCCTGGGCAGGTCCAGCTTTGGCCCACCGGCCGGCAGGGCTAGTCAGCCAGCAGCCCTACTCACGCCCACAGACGGTGACCCAGGTGCACAGGTGTGCCAAGGGAGCAGGCTCGACGGGGTTAACACTGCCACAGAAGGAAAAGCTCCAGCTCTCTCGCCTCTCTTTTCCAGCTCATCCTTAACAGTCCATTTGCCTTACAGCATCACAGCCAGCTCCATGACAGTGAAACCCCTGCACAGGCAGAATGTCACCCAACACCAAGTGGCAGGGCAGGAAAACAGGATGGGGCACCAAGAGGTATCCCCCAACTTCTCCCGAGCCCTCAGAGCCCTTGGAAGGCCGAGCCTCAGGGTGCCCTCCCACTTAACAGTGCCTTCGAGTCCCTTCGCCACCAGACCAGGCAACCCCTGCAGCCCCCTCTACCCAGCTAGTAAAGGCCCTGGCAGCGGCGTGTAAGAGTGCCGCCCCTCCCCCAAACCCGGGCTGGGGGGTGGGGAGGAGGCGGCAAACTTCAAAACTGCAGCTGCGATATGCTTCAAAAAAAAAAAAAGAAAGAAAGAAAGAAAGAAAGACCCCTGAAAGCCAGAGAAGCTCCCCTCCTCCCTTGGAGCTATGTGCGGTCCACCTTGACCGCCCGCTCATCCTCACTCTTCTCTGCCAAGGGAACCCGGCTCTCAGACCTCGGCCGGGGTTATTTCCTCAGGCTAGCGCGCGGCGGGGCCGTGGCTCTTGCTTCCTCCGTTCCCTAAGTTCACCCACCACCCAGAGGTGTGAAAAATTAGTTAAAAATGATGTCACCTACCCATACCCCCTCCCTCCCACGCTGGTCCCATCTCAAACACACCCGCGTGGCCTGGGCTGTGAGTCGCAGAGCATCCCGGGGGGTTGCGGTGGGGCGCCGCGCCGAGGCTAGCCTCCCCGGGTGCCCGCTCAGGCTCAGGCTCGGGCTCGGCCCTGGGAAGCCCGCCGGCGCATCGTTCCCCCGCTGCAGAAATCCTACCGCCCGTGCGCCCTGGGCGCGCCGCCGGGCCCCGCGCCGGCTCCCCAGGAATGCGGCCGTCAGGTGAGGTAGGCATGCGTGCCGGCTCCGCAGCGAAGCAGCAGCTGGCTGGGGCGCGGGGCTCGCGATCTGCCTCTTCTCCCTCTCCCCGCAAAGGAGAGGCCTCTCGGGGGCTTTTCAGCGCCTCGTTGCGTTAGGACCGCATTCCCCCTTCCTTTTCCTTTTTATATTAGTTTCTGCTTCAGATGCAAAAAGGGAGATCGCAGGAGTCCATGCCCAGCTCCAGCCAAACTCGGTCCACAGGCTGAGAGAGAATTATGAATGGATGCTGCCTTCTGATGAGGAAGTCGACTGGGGAGGTCTCTGCGCACGGCGCACTCCATCAAAGCCCGGGCATTGGCCCCTCCACTGCTTCAGTGCTGCAGGCAGAGACACCTAATTGACCACTGGGAAATCAGGTGCCTGGAGACCTGGGCGGGACGTAGCCCCAGGGCCACGCTGGGATCGAGCGCCTTGCCTGTGTAGACAGCTTCGATTTACAGCCCAGTGAATGGAGGGGACTGCGGCAGCCAAACCTCCCGGGCAGCAGGCACGGCTGCACCAACGCTCTGCAGACAGCCGCCCAGCTCTGTGAGCATCTCCTGGCTCCACTGGGCTAAAGGGAACCTGCTAAAAATAATCCGTCCCCTGCTGCCAGCCGCAGTGAGCTGCAGGACTCAGACCCCAGCCCCAAACTCGGTGGCGCGCGGGAGCCGGCCACAACGCGGGCCCTGTGCACTGAGACAAGCGGGGGGCTGCGGAGGATCCCGGATCCGGATTTCTGGTACCTGTGCGTTTCCTTCTCCGGTAGCGCGACCGCTGGTGCTGCGCGTTACCCATGCCCAGAGTGGCGGCGGGCTCGGCACATCACCATCAGGCTGGACCGACCGCGGCTGCTCAACACCGCACCCCCGTGGCTCCCTTCTCACCTCCCGGCTCCCTGGTCTCTGGCCAACAGCAGAGGAATCAGAGACGCCAATCGTGCCAACTCCTCCAGCCGGGGCAAGAGGGAGGACAGAGACTGGCGTGGAGCATGTGCCCACGCGCGTAACAGGATTAGAGCGGCCCGAATATTGTAACATTGCGTCCCCTCCCCCTAGTCATCTCCGAAACCTCGCAGCCTAGACACAAGTCACCCTGCCCAGGCTTAAAAACACTGCAAAGACAGTGCCTTCCCAGCGACGTGCTAATCTCCAGGGAAGGGTAATTCAACCAGCTCTGAGGATGAACCAGGGTTAAAAGCCATGGCAGTGTGTGCCCATGCCTTAGGCTGGCAGGTTCTCTATGTAACAACCACATGCAGAAGACAGAAAGCCATTTAGGGCCACGTAAAACACAACACTTATGGGATATATCCTAATATATAACAAGGGAAAAACCAGTGAATGAAATTATCCAAAATGTGCCTTGTGGGAGGCAGTTTTCGGTAATTTGTCTTGATGCCTTGGAAACCCATTTAGGGAAAACTTGACTATTTTTTGACCAGGATACCTATCTTCCAATAGGGAGACTTATGCCCTGGGCAGATTTGCATGCCAGAGCAGTACTGCGTCCACGAGGCCCCTGACTCTTCCATAATTCACAAATTGTGGTGAAACACTCGACTTGCCAAGGTCACAAGAAATCACAGGGTTTGCGCAAGCACTGGTAGAGAGTACTTCCCAATTGGCATTACTACGAATTATGACTGTGGTCACATAAAGTACCACATGCAACCCAAGTTAGTCTGGGTTGGCTGCTCTCCTCTGACCCCACTCACACCAACCTCCTCAGACGGCTGCCAGCCTCCAGCGGAGACTAGAGAAGGTGGCTGGAGTCCCCCCTGGAAGACAGAGCGCGGCTAGGTCAGGAAGGATGACGTGGGAGGAGGTGGCACTGTCACTCCCCCAGTGAGGCTGAGAAGAGTCATGAACCCCAAAGTTTAAGGGGTGGGTAGGCAAGGGAAAAGAGCCCACCAGAGACAGAGGGAGAGAGAGGAGTCAGAGACAGACCAGGAGGGAGGGAGGGCCCCCTCTTAGAAACCGAGGGACCAAAGGGTTTCACGAAGGCGGCATGATCAAGAATGCCAGACGTCACTGAGGGGGCAGTGGGGGCAGTACCCACCGCTCCTTCGTCTCCAGGAGGCCTAGTGGAGTGGCCACGGGGGTGTGTGGGGTGGGCGGGGAGGCCAGTCAGAGCTGCTGAAAAGAAAAGGGAAGGCTTTCCCTTAGACTTGCTCATCAAAGGACCAGCAGCACCCGGGAGCCCGTTAAAGGTACAGAGAGCTCCGGGACAGACTCCACTGGGGCACGGGGAGCCCCGCCATGTGTGGACTCAAACCGGTCAGGCCCTGAAATGAGAGCTTATGTTCAGACAAGCAAAATGGCCCCCCTCTACAGCGATCCCTGCAAGATCGTGGGGAGCTGGTGGCCAAATTACTAATCACACATCCCAAGGAGATGAACCGCGTTGCTCCGGGTTTTCAGGGCTGCTCTATCAAGGGAGAGCCTTGGCAGTGAGGCCTGCAGAACTCTATTAAGTGATGAAAATGGCCATCCGTGTCTTGCCCTTCGCAGTGATCTTTACAATTATGAGGTTGTTGTTAACAGTGGTGATGAAAATAATGATATAACTAGATTACTTACATCTGGATAAGGTTTTAGCGAGTCCCGTGGTATAGAGAAAAAAAAAAGAGAGAGAAAAAAAGCCCAAAACAACCCTGGACTTTGGTCCCAGAAAGACCTGTGTTTGAATCCTAGCTCCTCCACTCTCAGCAGTATGGCCTTTGGAAAATCATTTGACTTCCCTGAACCTTGGTTTCCTCACTTGTAAAACGCAAAGAGGAATGCCTAATTTACAGGGTTGTTAGAAAGAGGAAATAAAATGATAGATACAAAGCTCCATGATGGTGCCTGACACATAATAAAAGCCCAGCGAAGGTAGTTCCTTCCTTGAGACCTTCCCGCACATGCTCATATTGGAGTTTTTCTGAGTTCCCTACCCCCTTCATGGTGGTTAGGGTCCCTGTTGCTTCCTATGGTTTGAGGGTCCAAAAAGAAGTACGTATTGAACGTCTCTTAGATGCCAGCTACTGTGCTGGGTTCTGGCGGGGAAAGAGCAGACTCTGGGCCCTTCTGGAGCTGGCATTCAAAGGGCGGAGTTTACGTCCCAGCCCATGTGGGTGTCCTGCTTGTTTTTTCTGTCAGCCAAGGGTACCAGGTCTCAGGAGGAAAAGAACTGCAAATGTGTCCTCCCTTTAGGACAGTGATGGTCTAGAGCAGGGATCAGCAAACTCCTTCTGTGAAGGGCCAGGTAATAAATATTTCAGGCTCTGAAAGCCACGTGGTCTCTGCTGCCATGACTCCACCCTGCTGTTATAGCTCAAAAGGCATAAATGAATGGATGTGGCTGTGTTCCAATAAAATTTTATGCACAGAACAGACGGGGGGTGGGAGGGTGGTGGTGGGGATTTGGCCTGAGGGCCCTAGTTTGCCAGCCTCTGATCCTTCAGTGTGACTTAGGACAGGACTATTCCCTTTCACTGGTATTACCAGGAAGTGTATAAGTCTTCACAGGTGATTTTCCATACAATTCAAGTTTATCCAACCAAGAGCAGTTTACTGAAGCTCCTTGTCGTGTTAGAGCATATTTTATACTTTCCCCGGAAAAGACCGGCTAGTTTGTTGTTCAGCAAACTGTCTCTGCCTTTCTCCTCCAGCCAGCCTCCCTCACAGACAGGCGCAGCCATGTAACTGTGTGCTAGCCAGGGGGATGTGGGAAAGGGCTGTGTGCCTCCAGGTCTGGCCCAGAAGAGCTCCTGCCCGTTCCTACACACACTCCCTTCTCTCCCCCGCAGGAGGAACAGGGTGGAGAAACCCCAAGATGGAAGGCGCCTGGGTACCAAATGACTGCATGCCGACCTGCATTAGACTGCAGTGTGAGAACGAAGCCACTGAAATGGTGGGGGTTGATTAGCAGAATTAGCCTACCTTGAACAATTCACTTTCCTATCTCTTTAATCAGATGATACAAAACACAATTTAATGCTTTGCTGATTACTTAGGGTCTTTATTAAGAAGGCTTATTATTGGTCTCTATGGTAACACATTTCAAAGACTCCTTTTTGGATTTCCAAGCTCTTTCCCTCATGTTTAGTCCCCACTGTCATTCCTCTCTCACCCTTCTTCTAGGTCCTTCCCCATAGTTTGAATCCACGGTGGGCTGAGGAAAACAGACACCATGGCTGGGTAACATCTGCCCATTGAAGAAGAGTTACTAGTGGTCTGAGCGAGAACCTAAATGAGAAGCGCGGGCTCGCCGACAACCATTTGCAGCCTTGGGAAACTCCTTGCACTTACTTTCAGGCTCAGTGCTGTGTTCCAGAGAGCTGAAGTTATTGGAAGCTCAGCATCTCTGAAAAGAGTGGGGCATTTTGGTATTGTCTAGCCTACAAGTTTTCAAAGCTTTAATTCTCCTACTAGTCATCTTGGGGGAATCTACAATAAAGGTTCTAATTCTGTCCCTTGACATGCATGGGCTATTCAACTTTCAAAATACTGTCACTTCCTGATTTTCTACACATAGAGGATACCCCTCATATGCCCCAGATCTGTTTTTTTGTTTTTTTGTTGTTTGTTTTTTTTGCGGTGCGCGGGCCTCTCACCGCAGCGGCCTCTCCCGTTGCGGAGCACAGGCTCCGGACGCGCAGGCTCAGCGGCCATGGCTCGCGGCCCCAGCCGCTCCGCGGCACGTGGGATCCTCCCGGACCGGGGCACGAACCCGTGTCCCCTGCATCGGCAGGTGGACTCTCAACCACTGCACCACCAGGGAAGCCCCCAAATCTGTTTTAAACTCGCCTTTCCTGCTTAATTCTTTTGTTGACACCTATATTATAGGAGCTGGAAGAATCGACTGGAAAAGGCTAAACAATTTTATTCCTGTTCCAGACGTGGTATATTATCTTTATATCTTGGGACAATTTAGCAAGGAAACCCAGCTGTGCTTTAGACCTGGTCTTTGGGTTATTCTGATCGGTGGGGCTGCGGTCCTCTCCCAGCATGAGATGGGCAGCAGGAAACACATTGGTGGGGCACATCACGGGGAGAGATCTGGGGAGAGGCCTACAGACTCCACATACCCTGACAGTCTGATTTCACTATTTTATTGAAAGAACCAAGATGACTGTATGTAAGTGATCCTTTTGGTCTGTTTCTTCATCTAGAGAACAAGGACGGTGGAGATGACCTGGGAGGTTTTCGCTAGGTCTCTCACGCTGGAAGCCTATTGTTCCATGAAACCTGGAACCAGCACCACCTTCTGAAATGATTCCTCATCGTCAGTTCTTATTTCTTCTTGCCATTTCTGCTGATCATCCAGAACTGACCACCCTACGCGTAAATTTCAGCATCTGCAAGGGCAATAATATGTTCTGGCATCTGCCCAGCCTGGGTAACCTTTTTGCCCCAGGCTGACCTTGTTGGTGACCTTGGGGATCCCAATTCCAGCTCCACTCTCCAGGATACACACCCTCTCTGTATGTTTCCCTAAGGTGGCTTCCCCGCTTTACTCTCTTTGGCTCCAATGCTAGAAACCCAGTTTGGCCGCCAGTTTATTTCCCTGGAGCAAGCTGGATGCCCCTGCATAAGCTATGGCTGTGGCGGAGCCTTACTCCTGATCTCTCCTATTAGCAGCGTCGCTACTGCTGCCCCCGCCCACTGCTCCCAGGAGACCCCGCGACTTTCACAAGAAATCACTGCTACAAAGTGGCTCACTCGTTCGTAAGGAACTATGTGTTTATTCATATATATTTTATATCATAACAAATGTAAATTAATTTCAGGGGCCCAACTACCCAAGCTAGTATCTATATGGCTGCCTGTACAACATTTCTCTCTCAAAATTCTCAAAACCATCTGGCATCAACTACTGTATTGTGACCTGTTAAAATAAGTAACAGCTGTGATAATCCCTCTCGATTTATGGCAAGCTATAAAGCTTTGCATATACTGGCAGTGCATATAAGATAATAAATAAAACCATTATCATTCTGTGCTGTCTTGATGGGAATTATGATGATTTAGCCAAAATGGAGCCCCATGGAATGCATCAGGGAAGCACGGGTTTTGCCCAATCTGGCCTGCTTTAAGCCCCCAAAGACCAACCTCACTATTTAGAGCTCCTAGATGTTTGCAAACTTTATCCAATGTAGATGCATCCTTTCTGAGAGAACATCATTCCCATCATCATTTCAAAGCCTTCTTTCCTGATGGTGAGTTTCCAGAATTCCTCAGCATAGCCAGACCATCAAGAAAACCAACCTATGTACAATTCAAAAATGTGAAATAATTTGTAGCACCAAAACTAAGAATTGGCTTGGAACTGTTAGCTGTAAGCTTATGTTTACAAATACTGCCAAGATCCCAGGTTGAAAAATACTATAGCACGGTCATCTCTCTAACATAGACAGTATGTGGAAAAAGAAAAGCTGGTAGCTGGCAGAGAAAGCAACTGGGCAGCTTTGACTCTAAGTAGAAGTTACTACGTCCACTGCACATGAATTTCAAAAACTTAAGGGGATGGGGAAGGAAACTAGCATGAAATGGCGCTTTACTGTGTACTGGATGTTACACCATAATCTCACTTAATCCTCACAACAGCCCTATGCCTTAGGTATTACCAGTCCTGTTTCATGGTTGAGGAAGTTGATGCCTAGAGAGGTTAAGTAACTTGGCCGAGGCCATCCGGCTAAAAGTTGGGGAGATGGAGTTTGAACTTGGATCTGTCGGATTCCAAGATTCATGCTCTTTCCACCTCACCACACTGCCTTCTGGATAGCTGTTCACAATCCTTGAACACTATGACCCACATGGTAGATAGTATTTACACGGATGACTCGTTGTCATGGCCACGGGCAATTCCTACCCCTTCTGTCCCACTTACAAAGTCTATCTGAACGCAGGTGAGAGTTACCTTATTAGTGGAAGAACGCTGAACGCATATATATGGAATCCAAACCCATTTTCATTTATATATTTTAAAAATTGCAAATAAGGGTGCTTGGTTATCGTATCGATTTCAAAAAAGAGCTACAGTACTTTTCAGCTCTTGGTGGACTCTATTTCTCCACCCTGAATCTGAGCAGGCCTGGTGACTTAATTTGGCCAACAAAATGTAGCGGAAGTGACATTGAACCTGTTCGGAGCCTAGGCCTCAAGATGCGTTCCAACTTCTACTTCTGCTGATCTTGGTGCCTCCCCAGGCTTACTGCCACGCTGTGAAGAAGGCTGGGCTAGGCTGTTCTCTTGGCTCATGAGACACCACGGGGCCCACTTTCCCGCTCATTCTGACCCATAGCCTGCTAACCACCAGACATGTGAATGAGGCCACCCTAGGGCATCTAGTGCCAACTGAGTGACTACAGACACACAAGCAAGCCCTGCAGGGCTCAACCAGAAGGACCAGCCATTCAATTTTAAGCCACTAAATACTGGGGTGTTTTGTTACCCAGAAAAGACCAACTGAGGAAGTTCATTAAATTTTTAACCACTTGTCAAAACAGATGCTAAGCGTTGAGAATTGTTCATTTAAGTGCAGATATCAATAAACTAAAACCTCCTTTAAAAAAACGAATTTCTTTTTGGTGGGTCCAAATATTGCCATAGCTCAAAGTCTTCACATCATCTCATTTATTTATCACAGCACTCTCATCCCGTGAAAGTGCCAATTCAGCGACGCTTCCCATGAATAGCCTTCGGTCCCAGAAACCCACCTTCCCCTCCTCAGTCCTGGGCTGGCCAGGCTGATGTTGGGTCGCGTGGTCTGGGGAAAAGACTCGCCAAGGGGAGTGGCCCAGAGCCACCCTCAAGAGTCGACCAGTGGATAGAAGAAAGTGAAGGAGAGAGGATGTGTTCAACCCCAGAACCCCCTCGGGGAAAAAGAGGAGTAACGCCCTGGAACAAGAAGAACTACAGTGTATTAGGGTGTGGTGTCAGTTTTGTAATAGTCAACAACAGCGGTCATGGCCGTCTTCTTAAGAAGAGAGGGTATCCAAAGACACAGGTGGGCAGGGGGAAAGAGATGCGTACCCTTCTCCTTCCCACACACCTGGGAAACTTACAGATGGAGACCCTCAAAATGAAGAAGAGACTAATTACAAACTAAATTAGGGCCACACTCAACAATCTAAGAAAGGAAGAAATAACGGTTACAACTCAATACCTCAAACAGTAGTCCTCAACCTTGGCTGTACGTTGCAATTTCAACATAGTGAACTCAATTCCTGCACTCTTAATTGCTACATTAATTACTAACTTTATTCAACAGGAAAAACATTCAGCATGTGGAGTTCCTAGCAGTTTCATCAAAAGCCACTTCTTTTGAAGAAAATGCTGGAAAGTAACACGTGAGTTGATTATTCAGCTTGGGCTGAACACGTGGGTGCTTGGGCTTTTTTCTTTTCTCATGTTCTTAGTAAACCTGGGAACCTTTGCACTTTGAATAATTTCTCTTTTCTTTCTCTCGGTGTCCTCTAGTTATACAAACACAAAACATAATTACAGAGGCAGTATTGACATCTATATACCTATGGTTTTTTCATTTGGTATTTACAGTGCTGAGTGAATGAATTAATTTAGTTTATTTTACTTCTTGGGAAAAAGTGTATGTGATGAAAGGGGGTCCCTGTTAGTTGACTCCGGCAAGGTTTTATAGGGAGCGTATAAAGGAAAAGGAGAAAGAAAGAAACCTTCTTTGTAGCTCTGTGAAAATATGTTGGTCTGTGCCCTCAACGATTTTTCTACATTTGTGGTTCAACACGTACTAATTATGTTCCCGAAAAGGGGATGTTTTACTGAGAAACTTTATGAATTCAAAAAACAAACAACCCTCTCTATACCAGTGTTTGCAGCTTTTCCCATTTCAGGCTCTGACCCTGCTTCCCAACAGCTTTGCCCAGTCTGAGAA